CCCACCCCCTTTTCCCCTCCCCCTGGCGTCCAGCCCCTTTGTCCTTCCCCAGCTGAGCCTGAGTGGCAGTCTAGGCAGCGCAGCAGAGACACTGGAGCCCAGGCTGCCAGGGGCTCAGGCGGCAGGACAAACAGGAGTGGTCCGTGCACGAACAGCAGCTTCAGGGCGCCTGGGAGAGGGCATGGCCAGGTAAGTGCTTAGGACACAGGGCTGCCCTAACGGTGTGGTGTCTACAAATCTAAGCATGTTTGTATGGCTGGGTGTGGGCATGAAAGAGGCAGGGTGGCATGTCAACTTTTAGGGGCTGGGTGCCTCCGTCTGCATCAGGACCTATAGCTTGAGATGCCTAGACGCTTAGCTGGATGGGAGAATGTTCCAACTGGGCGCCCTTCAGCTCCCAGAATGGGAATCCCCAGGTGGAAACTGTGTCTGAGGTCCCCATGTGTCCACAGTGCCCAGAGCAGTAGATGAGCTGTAGATGAGCTGTAGAATGAGTAAGTACAGGTACACGTCCCAAACAGCCCTATGGCCCTAGGACAGTGGTTCTCAACCTTGGCTGCACATTAGAATCACCTGGGAAACTTTTTAAAATCCTGAGTTCTGTCCTAGCCAGTTTAGCTCAGTGGATAGAGCGTCAGCCTGCGGACTGAAGGGTCCCAGGTTCGATTCCAGCCAAGGGCACATGCCTGGGTTGTGGGCTCCATCCCCAGTAGGGGACGTGCAGGAGGCAGCTGATCAATGATTCTCTCTCATCGCTGATGTTTCTATCTCTCTCTCTCTCTCCCTTCCTCTCTGACATCAATAAAGATATATATATATATATCTTTATTGATGTCAGAGAGGAAGGGAGAGAGAGAGAGAGATAGAAACATCAGCGATGAGAGAGAATCATTGATCAGCTGCCTCCTGCACGTCCCCTACTGGGGATGGAGCCCACAACCCAGGCATGTGCCCTTGGCTGGAATCGAACCTGGGACCCTTCAGTCCGCAGGCTGACGCTCTATCCACTGAGCTAAACTGGCTAGGACAGAAATCAGGATTTTAAAATATATATATATATATCTTTATTGATGTCAGAGAGGAAGGGAGAGAGAGAGAGAGATAGAAACATCAGCGATGAGAGAGAATCATTGATCAGCTGCCTCCTGCACGTCCCCTACTGGGGATGGAGCCCACAACCCAGGCATGTGCCCTTGGCTGGAATCGAACCTGGGACCCTTCAGTCCGCAGGCTGACGCTCTATCCACTGAGCTAAACTGGCTAGGACAGAACTCAGGATTTTAAAAAGTTTCCCAGGTGCTTCTAATGTGCAGCCAAGGTTGAGAACCACTTTTCTAAGAGCTCCCCTAATATCCTGTACTTCCCGTGGGAACGCCACCACACCACCACCAAGTTATAAGCTCCCGAGTGCAGGAGTCATGACTGCCTTGCTCACTGCCTGGCAGAGAAAAGGTTCTCCATACATACTTGTTTAATACTACACTTGACCTTGAACAGGTACTGAGCACCTGCTATGGGCCCGATCCGATGGTGCTGGGGAAGGGGTCCCTACAGGAGATGGTAGGAGACAAGCTGGGGTGAGGAGAGGGAGGTAGAGTTGTACCCCTCCACATACACTGGGCCTGAATTCCTGGACCAAAGGCTACAGCTCCTGTAAGGGATCCTTCCCTATTCAGATATTTTGTACAGGTTTCCAGCCCCTCAAACCGTGGGAGAGGTAAGCACTCTCTGGAGTTGGTAGCCACGTGGCACTGCTGCGTCCCTTGTGGGAGTCCCTAAATACTTTCTACTATACTTTTGAAACCATTCCTTTATTAGACCCTTCGCAAATTACCCAAATGAAAGCGTGCCAGCTGTGTTCTATCGATACTAACAGAAAACAGCTTGGCGAATTTGAAGCGCAGGAAGGGCAATTTGGCTTAAATGAGTACATGACGGAGAAGGTGCAACAGCTAAGGCAGGAGCTAGCGGGTAGCCCCCTCAAGTAGGCAGAGACTGCTGGATCCTTGCAGCCAGCCATTAGGAATCCGGATGGTAGAGTGGAAAGAAGAGGAGTTGAATGAATGAAAGAACGCACACTACTTACTTTCATGCCTACCTGTGACGAGGGGCCTCCTGCCCTCGATTTGGCCCAGCCCGGTGGACTTTCCACGCTATTTGTGTTGTTCTCTACCCAGCAGGATGCTAGAGGGCCCCTCGCTGGAGGAGTCAGAGCCAGGCGCTGAGGCGCCCTGCTCGGGGTCTGGCCACGCGCAGCGCGTCCTGCAGACCCTCAACGCCTACCGTGGGAGCGGCACCCTCACCGACGCGGTG